CAGAGCACCTGGGTCTGAGTTCCAACACCCACATGTTGACTAATAACTGTAACTCAAGTTTCAGGGCATCAAACACCCTCTTCTGCCTTCCCCAAGAACATTGCATGACATGGGTGCACTTATATACATGAAGTCAAAACGTTCATACACATAAAATAAAAATAAATATGTTTTTAGAAGATGCAATTTGCATATGCATGAAATTTTCAAAGATTAATAATTAAAATTTGCATATAGAATATAAATATAACAATGTCTGAGAAAATATAGCATCCAACATAAAATATAAGACACAATTCATATTTTTAATTTTGTGCTTCATAGAAAATTGCTATTCAGGTTTGGAGCCTGGTAAGCCTGAGTCTACAAGGTTGGCTTCCCAAGTACCCATGAAAACTAATGGTTCAGTTCCTGTCTAAAGGCCATAGAGTTCCAGGGGAGTTGATAGTGCAAACAATGCCAATATTAACTATTAAAGAGCTCACTCTAGCTCACGGAGACCAGGATTATGTTTTGCTTCTTTTTCAATAGATTGGATGAAGGACACAAGTAGGGAGAGCAAGGAACCTAAGTAACCTACACTGGCTCCAGTAAACCTACAACGTAAAAATATCTCCACATTCACCCATGGATATCATTTCACATTTCACATCAACCACTCATAGGACTGGACTGGTTTCAGCAGGCTCAGTGCTACCACAAAGGAAATAAATGTCTCCTCTAGAAAGACTTAAAAGCACACACGTCATTTACACAGTGGTGAAAATGATCATTCAGGTGTATTATCTCATTGTTTTGAGCCCTCACACCTGACATCAAGAGTAATTAGTCATACTACGTTCTTTAATTTCACAAAGATTTTCTAAAATGACATTCAGAATCTGTTAGTCATCTGTCCTACTATAAGAAAACACCTTAGAGTGGTGGATAATTTATAAGCAATGGAAATTTATTTCTCAGTGTTTGGATGCTGGGAAGTCCAAGAGCATGTTGCCACTAGATTCAGGGTCCTTGTTGGCTCCCTCCTCATGGGGCATTTTGTGCTGTATTTTCACATGGTGAGGAGGAATGAAATAAACACTATGATGATTAATGTTGTGATGTCCTCACATGGCAGAAGCAGGAGAACTGTGTTCTCACATGGGGAAGGAAGTACGAAAAAGGCTTAGCTGGGTCCTCTCAAAGCCCTTCTATAAATTCATTGATAGACAATGGTATGGAAGCTGCTTAATTATCTTTAACTGAGATGTGACCTGCCCTAAAGGTCTTACTTAATAAAATCACTTTGAGTCTCAGGGTCCAACACATGAATCTTTCATTTGAAATATCCAATAATGATATTTTGGGGTTTTCTACTGCCAGATAATGTTGTGGATTACCATTCAATATAATACACTCAATACAAGATGGATGTGTGCTATGGAGCCAGCTCCCTTAGAAAGGCAAACCCACAAACTCCAGAAACAGCACAGAGCTTCTTCATTTCTCCTAAGCGTGTGTCCCACCAGTCTCAATCTCAATATCAAACACTGGTTAAGGTTGGAATATGAATGCAGTTAGAACCAACAGATTTATTTATTTATTTATTTAAAAAAATTAATTTGTGATACATCCATTTCTTCAGGTGGGCCAGAATGCTCAAGCTTCAACACAGTCAATGCTGTTGAAAGCTAAGCAAGAGCAAAGAAGCCTCAATAGTAATTGAATAGCCGTTCTTACACAGCTACGTCCTCCTGTTTTATGTTGCTTTAGTCATGAATTATATCTTTACATATTTTTTCTATTAATAGGCTAATGATTAATATCTTAACCATCTATTAAACCACATAGGAAAAATTTCAGTCTAAAATATTATGACACTTATTTTAAATTCATTATACTTACTTTCTTGGTTTTAAGGAAATTTTGAGTTCTTAAAGATTTATTTTTATTATTTTTAACTATATGTATATGTGCACTCCTGTGTGTGGGTATGTACATGTGAGTGCTGGTGACCTCAAAATCCAGAGACTTTGTATCCCCTGGAACTGGAGATACAAGCTGTTGTGACCTGCCTCACTTGGGGGTTGAGAACTAAACTCTGGTACTCTACAAGATCACTCAGTGCCTTTAACCAAAGAGCCATCTCTCTAGCTCCTCAGTTTTGATTTTTTAAATTTGTTTTTATTTTTTTACTTTTGTTGTATGTGTATGACTGTTTTGCACCCATATCATGGAATGTCTTTGGAGGCCAGAAGAAGGCATCAGATTCTCTGGAATTGGAATTACAGTTGTCAGCCACATGGTGGGTTCTGGGTGCTGAATGTTTATTTATAATAGATAAATAATCCATCAGGGAACTGCAATGAAAAATGTGTTTTTGATTTGCTTTCCAGACTCATTTTATTCAAGGCTAAAGGAACATTGCAGCATTTCTTCCATAATGTTTCTACCAATGACTAGCTCTAAAGCTTCACTTACTTCTAAAGGACTCCAGTTGTCCATGATATTTGAAGGATATTTATTTTGGGCCTAGACTTTTCACAGTGTACAAAAGAAAAGCTCAAGGGGCTGGAGAGACAGCTCTGTGGTTAAAGAACTTTATGCTCTTCCAGAGGACCCAAGTTCAGATCCCAGCACCCATGATAAGGTAGCTCACAACTGCCTGTAACTCCAGCTCCAGGGGATCTGATACCTTCTTTTCATCTCTGAGGGCATCTGCACACATGTAGCATACATACCCTCCAACACACATAAATAAAAAGTCAAACAATTATTTTTTAAAAGGTAGAAAAAGACAGATAATTGGTTTAGTTTTTGTACAGAGAATATATGAGAAACACTACACAAAGTTCTTTATACACTAAAATGTGGGTTCTAGTGTATATATAGTGTATATTCTTACACTGGGCTGGAGAGATGGCTCAGCGTTTAAGAGCACTGACCCTTCTTACAGAGGACCTGGGTTGGATTCCCTGCACCTACTTGGCAGCTAACAACTGTGTTAACTCCAGTTCTGGGGGATCCAATGACCTTTTTTTTACCTCCACAAGCATTGCACAACATAGGTGCATTTATACACATGCAGGCAATATACTCAGACACATAAAATAAAAATAATAAATAAATATTAAAAAAGAAATCATGCATTTATTGAAGCATTTAAAGTCTATGCATAGCAAGTAATATGAACACATGTATTCAAAGAGCTAATTTGCATATTTAAAAATAATGTTTTTAATTATTTCTTGAATTTTTTATTTATTTATACAACATATTTTGATCATATTCATCCAAATGCTATCACCTTGCAAACTCTCCCTAGTGCCCCCCATTATCCTCCATACTTCATATCCATTTTTGTTATTACCACCCCCCACCCCCCGCCAAGTCCAATTAGTGCTGTCCTTGTGCACATGAATGCCTCACAGAGTTTTAATCACTTCTTCCCTAGGAGGTTAGCATGAGACAGGCAGGTATTCCCACGGAAGAAATTCCCCAGGAGTGCAAGTCTACATGTTGTTCCATCGTCTCCAGGCATTAGCCTCCTAAATACCAATGTGATGCGACAGCTTGTTTCAGAAGGCCTCAATATGTGCCAGGCTCCTTTGAACACCATATATTCATCCAAGTGGCAGTCACTGTTGGCACGCTCAGACCTTCTTGACTGAAGGTTTTCTTGACTGAAGGTTTTCTTTAGCCATGGTTAAGGAAAATATACGCAAGATAAAAATTACAATGACAGATTTTGAATTGATGTTTTGTTGATCTTTCTCCTTCTTTGTACATAATTTATTGTCTAAATTATGTGAATGATGCAATCTTTTCATATTTCTTTTGTAAACAGGGAGGAAGTAAGTAGCTTTCCAATGAAATAGAATTAGTAGACAGCTCAGAAGTTGATTTGTATCATTGTTCCTTCCTCCAGTTCCCAAGCCTTGGAGAGTAATCACTACCATCAAAGAAGTCCTCTAACAGCACCAGAGACACATTCTATGGTTCACTTTACTGTGTCAGATTCACTCTCATTGACTGACTTCTTACAAGAAAATGGTAAGATTCCATAGTACATAAATATTGGTAATGAAAAGTGTAGTTTGTCCAAATTCAAAGATATACTTGCTGGGAACCATGTTAAAGGAGAAAGTGATGAGTGAAACATCTTTTAAAAACCAAAGTAAATTTGTTGTACAAATGTAAAGAGTTACATGTTAAGGGGTTTAAGTATTCTCTTAACATATCATGTGTATGAGCCAAAAACCAAGACACTAATTAGCTTGTGATTTTGTCTTTTTCCTGTTTATTTACCTGTCATTGCAGATAAGGAAACAAACAAATAAAACCAAACATAAAATATCAAGGCGATAAACTGATCATCTTTTTAAAGTTTTGGAAGAATCCTATATGAATTAGCATGTTCTCATCTATATTTACATTTCCATAGAATCACATATAAATTATTACTATCATCCTGTTTTTATAAATGAACTTAAAAATAGACATCTTTGATTACACTTAAGATGGTTTGAATTTTTTCTCATAGTAGGCATATAACTTTAGAAAATCGAAAATTTTAAATGCTCAGTTTCTTCAATGATAATGTAATAATAATAGCATTAATATCTAACCACTGTCTATGGTCATCCTTGGAATACAAGAAACATAGAATTATGATCACTCACTGAGAAGCCCTTTGGTAGATTCATCCACACGTCATTTCTAAGAAGTTATTAAGTAGACTGCATTTCTTTTTCAGAGATTATGTGTTTTAAAATTGGATAGGGGATCCACTAATAATCTTCAAAATCAAACACATGTAAACCACTATATAATTACTACATCAACTGTGGATTGGGAGAAAGTGCATATTCTAGATAGTCTCAAAGTACAAATTACAGATCTACCAAAAAATGCCTTTATTTATATTTTTTAAGTTTAATTCAATTTCATTACCTCAGTGTTCATTCACCTCTACCCTGCACCCATGCTACAGAGCAACTAGTGATTACCACCAGATACTACTGATGGAGAACAGGACAGAAGTGACAGACTTCATCCTGCTGGGACTCACCGATGACCCAGGCCTGCAGGTTCCCCTCTTTATCACCTTCCTCCTCATCTACACCATCACCCTGGTTGGGAACCTGGGGATGATCCTGCTGATTCTCTTGGACTCTCGGCTCCACACTCCCATGTACTTTTTCCTAGGTAACCTGTCTCTGGTGGATTTCTGTTACTCTTCAGCTGTCACTCCCACAGTCATGACTGGGCTTCTTGTAGGAAACAAGATCATTTCCTACAATGACTGTGCTGCTCAGATGTTCTTTTTTGTAGCTTTTGCTACAGTGGAAAATTACCTGTTGGCCTCAATGGCCTATGATCGTTATGCAGCAGTGTGCAAGCCCCTGCACTATGCCACCACCATGACTACTGTAGTATGTGCATGTCTTACCATAGGTTCCTATGTCTGTGGTTTCCTGAATGCCTCTATCCACACTGGGGACACATTCAGTCTCTCCTTCTGTAAGTCCAATGTGGTCCATCACTTTTTCTGTGATATTCCAGCAGTAATGGTTCTCTCTTGCTCTGATAGACATGTTGCTGAGCTGGTTCTTGTTTACATAGTGAGCTTCAATATCTTTTTTGCTCTCTTGGTTATCTGGATATCCTACGTATTCATTTTTATCACAATCTTCAAGATGCAATCAGGTGCTGGACATCGGAAGGCTGTGTCCACCTGCACCTCCCACTTCACTGCAGTCTCCATTTTCTATGGGACAATTATCTTCATGTATCTACAGCCCAGCTCCAGTCACTCCATGGACACTGACAAAATTGCATCTGTTTTCTACACTATGATAATCCCCATGCTAAACCCTTTGGTCTACAGCCTGAGGAACAAAGAGGTCAAGAATGCATTCACAAAAGTTCTGTTGGTGGCAAAATAATCTGTGGGATTTTATTCTTAATGTTGTGGGGTGCACAGTACATTTATTCATTCCTTTCAGATCTTTTTTGAAAGCCACATTTTTAAGCCCACATGCAAATAAATTCTAAAACCATGTCTCTTATTTCTGTGAGTTTATTGTATAGAAAATAGAAATATATTCAGGGTCATAGTACTGAAATGAGAATGACTATAATACCTTCTGTTATGTTTCAAAGAACCCTTATGAAGGATATTAATCAATACTTTAGCCACTGTCTTTATAAAAGCAAAATATATTTTAAAAAAGAAAAATATATACATTATTTTCAAAGACAGCTGTAATTCTGTAGCTATGTGTTGGGTGTTAATGGAAAACTCCCAAGAAAACCCTTCATCACTACATGGGAATTCTAACACATTCTGAATTTTTTCCTGTTTTTAAATGACATTTTCATGTCATTTATTCATTCAGTGGTGGTGTGTAGAGCTTGCTTTTTCTACCCACACTCTCAGTAAAGCATCACATATCACACTATAGTAACTATAGCTATCCCATCTTCCAGAAGAGTGTTAGCATTTCATATGCTTTGGTTAAATGAGCAAATAGAATCATAGCAACGTGAGCTATGCCTCGTGTGTTAGGACTAGTCAGTTTTATAAATCTTGAATGCATATTCAGGACACACTATAAAGTTATTACTAGCTCCAAAGCTTGAGAAAAACAAAGGCTAAAATCATTTCTTGCTTCAGGCATTGTACTGTTGCACTGTATAAGTGTTTAAATTTCAATTTGGTGGGGGGAGTCTTTTTGAGACAGGGTCTCCTTGTAGCCCCAGCTGTCCTGGAACTCAATATGTAGACCAGGCTAGCCTTGAACTCATAAGAGATCTACCAGCCTCTGCCTCCTGAGTGCTGGGATTAAAGGCATGTGCCACCATGCCTGGCCTAAATTTCAATTTTTAAGCCCTGTAAAATATGCTATATGAACTTGTGTTTCACAGATATTTACATTGGAATTTGAAAAATAGCCTATAATTTCTAGAAGAAAGTTATGGGTTTTATATCACTCTTAACACTTTTAATTTCAGCTAAGAACTAGAAGAAGTGATATAATAAACATGGCATATCTGTGCAGCATGCTGACTTCATATCTCTGGGTGGACACTTAAGGATGATGTTACCTGAATGTACTATATTTTCCAATGTTATATCCAACTACAATGATAATCAGTTACACTAAACTTTTTATTAACCACCCAGGCAAATGGCTGGACAAACAATCACTGCAGTGCGCCTGGGAGAATGGTCTGCTGGAAAAATCCTTGTGAATGCTCACATAATGTCTGTATCTACCCATTTACCCTCTAACGCCTCCCTTAGCTTCAACATCTCTCAGTCTCACTCTTGCTCTCTCCCTTTCACTCTCCTTTCCTATCTATTCTTCAACTCAGTCTTACAATCTGAAGTCCACCTGCTAAATGAGTTTTTGATAGTCTTATATTTACTAATAAAGTCTTTTTTAGTATTTTACTTTAGTTTTATTTTTATTGCATTGTGTCAGTCTCCATTTCTACTGATAAGAAACCAATGTCCAGTGAAACATTATTAATACATATTGCATTAGAACTGTTTACTTCCAGTAGCTAACACTGACAAGCATCTGCTATGAAATGGGCATTATAATGTGAACTGTCTACTTTATTAAATAAATCTGCTTAAAGGGAGGAACATGTCATCATGACAACTGCACAGGTAAGGAGGGTGATACAGAGAAAAATAAATACCATGATCTACAGTTTCCGGGGTGGGGGAGGAGGAAGGGGATGTTAATGTTGCTAGTTTTGTGTCATTCTTCATGGTCTATCCAAGGAAGAACTGAAAGTATCCTCACAGGACAGAGTGTGTTATGTTCACCATTATGCTTTCATTCATTTGAGTTTATGTGCAGCAGTGGGATCTCAGGATCATATTATATTTCTTTCTTTCATTTTTAATAATTATAATTGGTATATAGGCATTCTATATGGCACTGCATTTTATAAGGACACATTCATCCAAGTTGCTAATTTACATTGAATCTATCCCCCATGCTGCTCTGCCCTCTCCTTTCTCATCCCTTCTCCATTCCATCAACCCCTCTTTCCCCAATGTAGATGCTACCTTCCTGTCATTTATGTCCACTTGATGTTGGGTATCTATAAAATCTGGACCCATACATAAGTGGCAATGTAATATGTGTATTTCTGAGGCTGACTTGGTTCATTTAATAGGATTATCTCCATCTGCATATGACCCAGCTATATACCACTCCTGTGTATTTATCTGAATGGCTCCAAGTCAATATATTATAGAGATACTTGCACAACAATACTTATTGCAGTACTATTCACAGTAGTTAAGTTACTGAACCTATCTGGGTGTCTGTCAATAGAGGAATGGCTAAGGATAATGTGCATGTATATGTGCATACATGCATATACTCACATATGTATATATACATATATATGTACATATGGAATTTTCAGCCATAAAGTTAAACAAATTTTGCCCTCTGCTTTTTTAGTTTTTGAAGAACTTCCACGGTGTTTCCTATAATATCTATGCTAATGCACACCCCCTATTTTAGAATGTAATGATTCCCTTTTCTCCACATGCTTATCAGGACTTGTTATCTTTAAATTTTTTATAATACCCCTTCTTAATGAGAAGTAACAACTCATCTGACTTTGATTAGCATCTGCCAGATTGGTAGTGATGATAAATCTTTTTCATGTATGTGTTAACTACTCATTTCTTAGTATATCATATACCTATCTATTCAGGATTTTCCTATACTTTAGTTGGATTATTTGTATCCATAGTTATCTCAAATTATGGTTAAATAAATCATCAACATCTGAAGATCAACAGAAAAACAAGCAATTATTAATCAAAAACAAAATATAAAGAAAATATTGAGAAATTTTGGGACTAAGAAGCAATTTAGTACATAGAACAAATATGAGAAGAGCCAATATTGAATTTCAGTTAGAATAGAGAAGTTGACATTTGTAGGGAGGTAATGTGTTTCTGGATGAACCCACTACCATTTGCATATGGACAGAACTGATTGGACTTAGTGAGATATTAAAAAATAATAATAAGGGAGCAGGACATGAATTTGGAATGAGATTCATTGGGAGGGATTAGTTGGAGTGAGGGAATGAGGTGCATGTAATTAAAATGCATTGTGTGTGTGTGTGTGTGTGTGCGTGTGTGTTTGTGTGAAATTTTCAAATAAAAAAGTTAAAATTCACAATTACTGGAAGTATAATTTTTGAGAACAAAAACTGGGAAGCACAGAAGTAAATTTTGAGACAGATAAATTTTAAGATAGATGGTAAATTTGAGGTAAATTTCGAAGACCTTGAAACACCATTCAATCAGTAGAAAGAAAAAGAGAAAAGAATTATATAAATGTTAAATTGTTAAAAGTTACCACATTTAATTATGTAAGTCTTCCAAAGAATCACACTAATTTTTGATAAATTTGCTTCCACTTTTTCTACTGAACCACATTATTGTGAAAGTTCAAAATCAAAAACAAGCCTAACAATTTTAGATGTCATAAAGAGAAACAAATAATTCCATAACCAGACAGACATCATTTGTCTCATCATAGAAAAGAATAGAGGTCAGAAGACAGTAGACAGTTGTCTTGATGTCTGCATATCCCGACAAACCATGCATCCACTGTGGTGGTGAAATCATGACATCAGATGTACAGAAAAGTACACATGCTGCCCTCATCTATTTTTAAATCTTTATTTCTTTTTAATCTAACATGCACTCGGTGGCCATCCATTCAGGCTGCCTTTACTGTCATGGCCGCCCGATCCCGGACCCCGGGGCTGGTGAGCAGGCTGTGTCAGTGGAGCCTCATTCAGAACCAGGAGACCAGGTTCAGTAACATGGATGTGCTTTATTGAGGAAACAGTGAGCTTATATAGGGTTCTTAAGACAACCAGGAGAGAATACAATGATCAGGTCATACATGAGCAGACAGCTTAGGTTTTGGTTTACAGTTTCATTTTACTGATCGGGACTAGTATTCCTGTAAATCATGTGATCAGCCCTGTGAGGGAGGGGTGGTTTGTTCCCTGGAGTTTGGGACCATCTTGTGTCCTAAAAAGCTGTTTATCAAAGCAAGCTAACATACTCTAACATCTTCCCCTTTTTGTTTAAAAGATGGGCTACTCTGAGGTCCAAACTGGGGCTGTGGCAAGGCTGGTGTGATATGAAGAAGGAAGAAGTCTACTGGATGAAGCAATCTGGGGCAATGGCTAGACCATCTTGGAGTATGCTCACAAGACCTGAACAGACAAGCTTTATGGCATCGTCTTGTCTGAGCCAGGGCCTTCAAATGTATTTTCAGTCCAGGACTCCCTAAGATTAATATCTGCATTGTCTGAGCCAAGGTAGTCCCCAGAAAGGCTCCCATCAGGACAACCCAAGTTGTTTTAGGCCCACTGTATGGCTGTGGCCATGATTTTTATCCTTTTTAAACCTGGGTCTGGGCATGAATGGGGTAGGGGGTAAGAAGCAAGGCAGTGCCATCATAAGTTGAATCATAGCAAGCCAGTCTCTAATAAAGTTAAGGCTCTTAAAATAATTGGGCCACAGGTTAAGGCCAGAAGGAGCAAGGCCAGACACCTGATTAAGGCAAAAAGGAGTGTGGTGAGCCAAGAAGAAGACTGAAATAGTGACACATACCAGTTTTGGTTTTTCACCATGATCTGTTCTCTCTCTAAGATCCTTTTGAGGGCTAAGCTCAAGGAGTCCCTTATGACATCAGAATGATTAGCATAGAGACAGCACTGTTCTCCTAGAGCAACACGTAATCCTCCCTGTTGAAGGAGAGGTCCAGGCCCCTCCTCTTTTGTGAGGTGACCTCAGCAAGGGAGGACAGGGAACTCTTTAAGATGTTTTATAGCAGTTTGTAAATTTTTTAAGTCCAAATCAATAGCCATGCTAAGGGCA